AGTGCCTTTCTGTCCTGCCTCCTCACACTCACAGGGCTCCCAGCCCAGCGAGGTCTCGGGAGCAGGTGAAGGCCTTTCTACCCAGCTTGGGACATGCCAGGTTTGGGTCTTGTGGCCAGACCCACAATGAGCCTTGTTCCCATGGTCACCCTGGTGGCTCACCTGCGGGGGTGGTGCTGAGATGCCTTGGTTGCCATGGACCGTGTGGAGTGGGACCTCTGACCTCAGGAGGCTATTTCAGTCTCTGCGCCAATGACTCCAGAGTCAGCGTCCCCACAGCCCAGACCATCCCTGCCCCGTTTGTCTCCTTGGACACCCCACCACCACCACCAGCGCTTCCTCTTGCGTAGCAGGTCAAACAAACCGTAGGATGGCCGAAGCCGGTTTGGCTCGGTGGATGGAGCGTCGGCCTGCGGACTGAAGGGCCCCGGGTTCGATTCCGGTCAAGGGCGTGTGCCTGGGTTACGGGCTCATCCCCAGTGAGAGATGTGCAGGAGGCAGCTGGTCGATGTTTCTCTCTCATCGATGTTTCTAACTCTCTATCTCTCTCCCTTCCTCTCTGTAAAAGGTCAATAAAATATATTAAAAAAAAAACAAAAACAAAAAAAACCGTAGGATGAAGTTAGTGTAGCAGCGATCACTGGATGTGGCGATCCCTCCCATGAGAGGAGGGCTGCCAAGCAGGCAGTTGTCCAGGTAAAGGGCGAGCCACCAGGCATTGTCTGATGGTCCAGCGAGGAGCTCCGGGAAGACGACCCTGTGTAGCAGAGTCCCTGAATCAGACGGCACGGGGGTCCCACACATTCCCAGGATGGTTGTGGGTGCTGGGATGCAGTTGTCAGCACACCGGGCGACATTCCGGACATGACTCCCTGGTGTGGTGCTGGTAAGGCATGTGCCAGGCTGTGTGTGCCAGAAGTGGAGTGAGCGCAGCAGCCGATGCTGGCCATGAGCAGAACCTGAGAGGATAGAACAAGACAGTCTGGAGGAGGAGCAGGTGGGCATGGCGGGGGCTGAGCCCAGTGTGGTGGTCAGGAGCTGGGGAGGCGAGGGTGGAGGGCTTAGGAGGAAAGGAGCACGTCTGCCCAGCAGTTACACACACACCTACATTACACGCACTCACACACACCTCTCACACATGTATACTTATACGCATAGGCTGGATTCAGTTTACTAACACACTCAGTTTTACATCTGTGTTCATGGAGGATGTTGCTCTGTAACTTGTCTTGTGTGTTCTTGCCTTATTTTTATCTAATTGAATTAGTTTGGTATTGTTTCTCCCTCTGTTCTCTGGAAGAGCATGTGTAAGAATGGTATTATTTCTTCTTCCTTTTAAAAAAAATATATTTGTATTGATTTCAGAGAGGAAGGAAGAGGGCGAGAGAGAGATAGGAACATCAGTGATGAGAATCATTGATAGGCTGCCTCCTGCCCGCCCCACACTGGGGACCGAGGCTGCAATCCAGGCATGTGCCTTGGCCCGAATTGAACCCGGGACCTTTCAGTTCTCAGGCTGATGCTCTATCCACTGAATCAAACTGGTTAGGGCTGTCTTATTTGTTCTTTATGGGCCTGATAGAATTCAGTCTTAAAGCCACCTGTACCTAACATTTCCTTGTAGAAAGGTTTTTAATTATATAAATTTAAGTTTTTAATTCCTTGTATCGGTTTTGGTAGCTTGTGTTTGGTCGTCTACATTTTCTGTTGGCATAAAGCTGTTCACTGTAGTCCTCGTTATTCTCTCAGTGTCTGTGGGGTCTGTAATGACGTCTTTTATTTTTAATACTGGTTGCCTCTTCCCCTTTTCTATCAGTCTAGCTGGATAATTTATCAGTTTTCTTAAACTTTTCAAAGGTGACTGGGTTTAATTTAATTCTTCATTTGTCCATTTCCTGTGACATAGATTTTCAGTATCTTTATTTCCTTCTACCTTCTTTGGGTTTCATATGAACTTCTTTTTTCTAGTTTCTTAAGGTGGATGTATAGATTATTGATTTTAAGCCTTCTCTCTCTCTTTTTAATTTATTTTATTGATTTTTTACAGAGAGGAAGGGAGAGAGATAGAGAGTTAGAAGCATTGTTGAGAGAGAAACATTGATCAGCTGCCTCCTGCACACTCCCTACTGGGAATGTGCCTGCAACCAAGGTACATGCCCCTGACCAGAATCGAACTTGGGACCTTTCAGTCCATAGGCTGAAGCTCTATCCCAGCCGTGGGCAAACTACGGCCCGGGGCCGGATCCAGCCCGTTTGAAATGAATAAAACTAAAAAAAAAAAAAAGACCGTACCCTTTTATGTAATGATGTTTACTTTGAATTTATATTAGTTCACACAAACACTCCATCCATGCTTTTGTTCTGGCCCTCTGGTCCAGTTTAAGAACCCATTGTGGCCCTCCAGTCAAAAAGTTCGCCCACCCCTGCTCTATCCACTGAGCCAAACCAGTTAGGGTTAAGCCTTCTCTTTTAACATAAACATTTATGGTCATAAATGTTTCCCAACCCCAACTTTAGCTGCATTGTACAAATTTTTTTTAAATCCTCACCCAAGTGTATGTTTATTCGCTTATTTCATTGATTTTAGAGAAAAAGGGAGAGAGCGAAAAAACATCAATGTGAGAAACATTTGATCAGTTGCCTCGTGCATGTGCCCTGACTGGGGATTGAACCTGAAACCTAGGCATGTGCCTTGACTCGGAATCAAACACAAAACCATTTGGTGTACAGGTTGACACTCCAGCCAACTGAGCCACCTGACCGGGGCTTCTACAAATTTTATGTTATATTTTTGTTGTAATCTTTTTTTAAAAAAATATATTTTATTGATATTTTACAGAGAGGGAAGGGAGAGGGATAGAGAGTTAGAAACATCGATGGGAGAGAAACATCGATTAGCTGCCTCCTGCACACTCCCTACTGGGGATGTGCCCGCAACCAAGGTACATGCCCTTGACCGGAATCGAACCTGGGACCCTTCAGTCCGCAGGCCGATGCTCTATCCACTGAGCCAAACCAGTTAGGGCTGTTGTAATCTTTTCTTTGCGTTGTTTAATCTGCTGTTAAGTCTATCCCATAAAATTACATTCCAGATATTGTAATCTTCAGTTCTAAAAGTTTCTGCTTGTATTTTTCTGATTTCTATATCTTTCGAGGACCCTAATCTTTTCACTCATTGTATTCATCCTTTTCTTTAAGTCCTTGAATCATTGAATATATTTATTTTTGTTGTTTAAAGTCTTTTTCACCTTCAGCATCTTTGTCGTGTCTGAGTCTGTTTCTGTTTTCCTGGTTATGGTTGCATTTTTCTGTTTCCTCACCTGATATGCACATCTGTTTGTGTTAGCTATGGGGTGGCGATCCTGTTGAAGGTCCTCCGACGTCCTCGTGGTGGTGGTGGTGGTTCCAGCGGGCCGTTCATTTGCTGTTGGTTTAGCAAAAGCTTTCTGGGGGCCAGTCTAAAGATACCCTTCCTCTGGGGCTGCTGCTCCCCCTGCAGAGCCTGCAGTGGGGCTCTGGGTGTGGGAGCACGCTGTCTTCCTGCCCTTATGACCTCTGGAATGCTGCTTGAGCTCACAGCTCCTTGGAGCTGTTGTTTGTGAGGCTCTGTACACCCTCAGCCATGTGGTTGGCCAGAGGGTTGGGTGGCTCTGTCCGTAGGGCCAGAGTCTCTTGATGAGGCAGCTCCATCCTGTCAGCAGCCCCAGCTGTGTGCCTGCTCCACACCAGCCTCCTGTGCGCCAGCATGCTGTCCTGCGTCGCCAGTTGCTTTGTGTATTTCACTGTTTGCGTTGCTGGCGGTCTGGGCCCCTGCCTGTTGCTCCATCATCGCACAGTGGAAATGTGAGTCCCACTTGTGTGTTCTCTCAGCTCTGTGTTCCCGTGTGTCGCTTTGAGCCTCTGGTAGCTCCCCCGTTGTTCAGGAGCTCTCGTTCCCAATTCTCAGAGCTCTTGCGCCTCTGTTCAAATCTCTCCATATGTCACTTTAGTTCTGCGCTGTTCTGATGTCTGGGGCTGGTTACAGAGGAGCCCGGAGGAGGTTGCAGTGATCCATGGGTGAGGGACCAGAGTAGGGGCATTGGGAGGGACTCGTGTGCAGCGTGATCTGCCCGCAGACGCTGTGTCTGAAGTGGACAGATGTGCACACAGCTCTGTGCTGCCAGTGGAGAGGCTGTTTTCTCCAGTGAAGGAACCAAGGCGGAGGTGGCTGGTTCTAGGACAGGGCAGGGCAGGGGATGGGACACGGTGAGCCTAGAAGCAACCCCGAGTGCTCAGTTATTCCAGCTGCCTGCTGCTGTGGCCGGACAGTCTGGGTGGCTGTGGGGGCAGAGGGGCTTTTTGCCCTGGTCCCCGTCGTGCCTGTTGTTCCGTCCTCAGTGCTGAGCTGGGTTGAGCCTGGACAGGTGAGAAGGTGGGTGGGGCCCTGTATGGGATGCTGCCTTGGGGAGGGAGACGGGGGTGGAGGGCAGGGCTGAGCAGGTGGGGATTGAGCATGGGGCTCCAGGCTGGGTGGGGCCTCTCAGGGATCTTTGTGGACTGCTGCCCCTGTGGTTAGCCGTTCGGGGTTTCGGTGCTTCCTGCTCTCCCACCTGCCAGCAATGTCAGGAAGGCGTGGCCACACGGCCTCTCCCCCCACTGGAAGGCCCTGGGCAGCTCATGCCTGGTCTGGATGCCCCAAAGCTGCCAGCCGTGTCTTCCTCCTGCCTCGGGCGGCGTCACTCTGCAGGTGACAGCCCGTGTCTGCAGCCACACAGGGCTGGGCTCAGGCAAGGGGTGCTGTCAGCCCCAGGAGGTCATGGGCAGAGCTGCCGCCTGCTCTCAGAAGAGCTCTCCCAGCTGTGTCAGAAGGGCCTCCAGGTGCCAGGGCCCGGCTGACGCATTCTTCCCTGGGGCTCTGCCCTCCCCTACAGCACCGCCCGCAAGGCGCCACTTTGAAAAGTTGACTGAGACACGCCCTCATCTAACCAGGCGGGCTGGCCTTGGCCTGTGAAAGGAGCAGCTGTGTGTCTGCCAGGCCAGAGCCCTCCTTTCCCCTGCGCGTCCTCATTGGCTGGTGTCGCTGCTCCAGGCAGACTGCCCAGGGAGGGAGCGAAGTTGGTGCTGGGGCTCCCACTTCCCTCGGCACCTCTGCGCTGCTCCAGCATGCTGGGGGATCACAGCAGCCTCCCCGCAGACCGGGCTCTGCTCAGCCAGCCCCCCAAGACTGGACTCAGCTGCAAAATGGTGCTTCAGGCGGTCGGCAGAGTGCTCAGGTGAACGCTGGGCACTGGGGGTGCTTGTCAGACTATCCCTGGTCCCTGCCCTGGGTCAGGCTGCAGTTGTCTGCTGCCCCCAGGACGTGGTCAGGGGTTCCCCTAAATGCCTGCATCCTGCTGCTCTAGGGAGGGAGTTTGCCCCTGCAAGGAAGGGGCGCCTGTACCTGGGAGGTGAGAAGGGCCCACTGGTGAGTCTTTCTGGCCACAGCAGTCCTGCCTCGTCCCCGCTGAGCCTGCGGGACAGGCCCTTCTTTGTGGGGGTGTGTGGCCTATTGTCTCCAGGCGAGTGATTGGAGCCTGCCTATGAGTAGCCGTATCCTGAGAGCTGACCGAGGCTGTGGCCGGCTGTCCACGATCGTTTGCACCTCTTCTTTTACTGCAAGGCCTCCAGTGCCCCCACATGGGTATCACCTTTCCTCGCCCAGTATGATTGTGCGTGTGCATGGGGGGCCCGAGGGCCATGGCTCAGCCCCAGCTGGAGCAGAAAGACCCTTGGGGGTCAGGGTCGGTGCTGGAGGGGCCCCGGGGGTCAGGAGCGGCCACTTGGAATGTGTCACAGTTGAGCTCAAGCCTGCTTTCCTTCAGGTGACTGTAGTGGGTCCTCTGTCAAGTGGAAGCGTCTCGCTTTCCCAGTTCTGTCTGTAACTCTAAGTGAATAGCAGCTGTGGTGAGGGTCCGGGTGTGGGCCAAGCCTGATGGGTGGTCCTGGTGGAGTGACCGCTGAGTTCTAGAACCAGTGAGGTCCGTGCCTCTGGCCATCTCTGGGCACCTCTGGTGTCCACCTCTCCCTTCTGCAGCAGGTCAGCTCACCAGGGGGTTTGGAAACGTGAGCAAGTTGGCGGCCCTCTCCAGCTCGTTGGTTCCAGTTGGGAAAGTGACTGTCTTGGACAGCGTAGGCGGCCATGTGTGTGCACACCAGTGTGCATTGTGGGTGTGTGCACACCTGTGTGCATTGTGGGTGTGTGCACACCAGTGTGCATGATGGAAAAGGGCTGGCCATGGAAATGGCCCCACGGAAGACAGGGTAGAACCCATGGTCTGAGCTGCACATGGGACTCCAGAGGTCCCAGTGAGCTCTGGGGGTTAGGGGGGGTGGGGGTGGTCGGGGCTGGTCGGGGCTGGGGCGAGCCCGCTGTTCTCACTTGGGGCCTGGGAAGACTCCAGGCGAAGGTGATACCTGGGCCCGGTGTTGAAGGAAGAGCCGCTTATTTCACAGGCAGAGTGAGAGCGGAACCCGTGGCCACATGGTGGCTGCAATTTGGGGCCAGCGGCGTGTGCAGCTCCTGCCCTGCCTTCTTCTGGCTGCCTGTGGACAGTCTCCCTCCTGGTGGGGCATTAGCTTATGAAAGCCCCCTTTGTTTGGGGTGCTGACCGTGGGCAGTCAAACCAGGAGAAGCAGTCCAGCCGCCACAGCCTGTGGAGGTCTGACGGGGACCGGACAGGGGTCCATGGCACCTCCCAGGCTCTGTGCCCATCGGGGTGCAGAAGCGCCAGGCTGGTTGGGACCTGAGAGAACAGCCAGGCCGGGAAGTTCTGAGGTTCAGGACAGTTCAGGCCCCACCCCAGGGCCCTGCATCAAAAACTCGGGTGTGAGGTGTCCATGGAAGGCGGAGAGCCCCAGTGCCAGCGGCCTCCAGCATGTCGGTGCCTGGCCGTTAGGGGTGACAGGGTAACCCCACAGCTCCAGCCAGGGTGGGGCTGAGTCCCTGTGCCCTACGGAGGAGGTTGGCAGGAGCTGCCTGTGCCTCCGCGAGGAACATTGCTGCCCCGCCCCTGCCTGCACACTGCCCCCCAGACAGCTCTTCCTCATGTCGGGCGCCTGCCCTGAGATAGCCTGGAGTGAGGAGCAGTGGCTGAGGCTCAGGGTGGGGTCCTGCTGGCCCTCCTCTCTGTGGCTCCCCTTCTAGTCTACCAACAGCACCCCTTTCCCTGGAGCAGTTTCTGTGGGGGCTCCCAGCACCTGAGCACTGCTCACGTAGCCTAGGTTTCTATAACCCTGCTCCCTCCTCCAGACTTTCTAGCTCCCACACCCCATGTCCCACGAGGCTGTCTCCAGACACAGCCACCTCTGGACCTTCCTGCTCGCAGGGTCTCCACCCTTCTCTGACTTCCCACGGGCGCCCCTTCCAGACCTGCCCGCATCCCTCTCCTGGCAATGGCCTGAGCTATCCCAGCATCCGCGAGGGAGCAAGGGAGTGATAATGCACGCACACCAGGTTGAGGGGGACCCTAGGAAAAGAGGGGAGTGCATTCACCCTGTACCTGGGGATTACCAGCCTTCGCCAAGCCTGACTGGTGCCTTGAAGATTCATCCCACTTTCAAAACCTGGAAGTTACTTGCTGCTCCTCAGAGGGTGGGACCATGCCAGCCAGGTGCCTAGGGCCGTGTCCCGTGGGCTGTGGGGCAGGCTGGCACTTGGCACTCGGTGTGTCCCCTCAGCTGGGGCCAGCCCACCAATGCTCTGTGTGTTCCTAGAGCCAGACTCCTTTCTTAGCCGATGGGGGACAGCCCCACTGCACCTCCAGTGGGCCCAGCAGGCCTCACGCACACCTGCGCACATGGTCTAGCTCAGCACAGATGGGCCACACTGACGACTGCAGGGCCCTCCTGGTGAGCGGGGGCTGTGACATTGGATGGGTCTCGTGGACAGGAAGCGTGCAGGCCTGTGCGATGCCCACGATGGTGGCAGTGGCTGGTCGTGGCCGCTCCTGTAATGGCCACTGCAGGCTAGTGCTCTGGCATGTTTGTGAGTCACTAGGTGACACTGCTCCTAAGCAGCAAAGCGTGGAGGTAGGTCAAGCAGCCAGCTCCACGGCCTGGGCCCCACCTCGTCCCGTCCCCATACCGTGGTCACCAGACCCGGAGGCCCAGGCTGTGTGCACCAGCCTGTGGTGGCCGTGGGCCAGTTTGTGCGAGTGCGGGGGAGGGCGGAGCAGCCTGGTCCAGGCGCTGGACACGGTGCGCAGCCTGAGCAGAGGCTGGCGCTGGTGCAAGGTGTGTCCTGCAGGCATGTCCTACCTGCCTGGGGCTGGAGGCACGGGGACCTTCCTGGCCAGTTGTGGCTTTCTGACAGGGTGGTGCATCACTCGGGAGCAGGGGCCCAGGGTCAGGAGAAGGACTGCGGGCAAGGAGTGGCATGGCCCACCTGCCCACCCACTCCCAGTGAGTGTCTCAGGGCATCCGCAGAGCCCCCGGTGCTCCCAGCCCTTCCTGGGGCCTGGTCTCCCTCTGTTGCTCCGACCTGGAGAAGACGGAGCCTCCCTGCCTGGGCACATGTGTCCACAGTGAACAGCTCGCCCCCACGGGGACCCCTGAGTGCCCACTGAGTGTGTGGCATCCGTGCTCGCACTCCAGCTGGCCCACCCAGGCAGGGTCAGGGCCCTGGTCTGAGTCTGTCCCGTCCTCCCCCTGGCACTGGCCACTCAGGCCCTGCCCCGGAGGCCAGCACACGCCGCCTTTTAAGGCGAAGATCTCCTGTGAGAAGCCGAAAGGAAAATATTTCCCTGGCGTTCAGGAACCATTTTTTCTTCCTGTTTCTCAAATAAACCACCAGAAACTTTTCAAAACAGAACAAAAAAAGGGCAAGGTCAAGGGAGCTGCAGAGACCTCTCATCCCACAGCTTGTGCCCCCCCCCCCCGCCCCCGCCCATGGGCCTCGCCTGGGGCCTGGGGGAGGGCCGCCGAGGCCCCAGGGCCGTATGTTTTTATTGTAGCTGTGGGGGCAAGCGACAGGGGCCAGGAGAGAGTGGGTTGGCTTCTCCTGCAGGTCTGAGGACCCGAGAGAGAGGGCTGCTGGGGCTGGGCCCGCACCCGACCACACGCCCCTCCTGGGTTGCAGGAGGCAGGGCCGAGGTGGGGGTCCTGTGCGCAGGGGGACCCTCCCAACATCCTGCCCATGGACTGCAAGGTGTGACAGACGCAGCTTCCTGTGTCTAACCTAGCCTGGCCGGGCAGCTCCAGCTGCGGCTCCAGGCCACTCCTTGGGCAGTTTTCCTTCTTGGGGACATGCCATCCCGTTGGCCTGCCTCAGCCGCAGGGACCTGGCCCCAGATCTGGCCTGGGGCAGTGGCAGGAGGCTGGTTCTGGGCCACAGCCTCCACCGAGGAGGGGATGCAGCCCCTCAGCACCAGCGAGCATTGGTTCGTGGTGTTTAGCCACCGATGTTCATACTCAGATGGAAGCAAGACGTGTTAGAAATATGGACTCGTTCATGTAAAAATAGCCACACACACCTGTTCTGTGTTAAATGATGGCACGTTTTTGTGGAAAGAACTGTTTTCCTAAATAAGAAAAAACCTCAGTGAGAAAAGGCCGTTTCTGCAGATTTTGGCTGGCACCTCCCTCTCCCTGGGAACCTGCTCCCCGCACTCGAGGGAGAGAGGCAAGTGGGATAGGGGTCGTGCGGCTGAGCCTGCAGCCGTGATGATGGGGCTGGGGGGTCGGCGGCAACAGTGCTCAGGACGCCTGCCCACCACCCACCTGCCTCTGGGACTCTGTTCATGGGTCAGGGTGAGTGATGCCCAACCCTGTGTCCTGCTCATCGGTCCTGCCTTGGGCGCCAGGCCCTTGGCGTGGGCCGGGCTGATGCAGGGCTGTGGCGTCACACGTGGGGGAGAGCCCAGAGTTCCAGGTTCAACCCATGATGCCAGGCTGCCGGTTCATGTGTCTGTGTCCCCCTCTCCCCTGTAGTGGCCAGACGATGGCTGGGGGACGGCACATGGTGCCAGTGGGAGCAGAACCCCCAAGGCATCTCCAGGAGGCTTCTCTGGTGTCCCACCAGCTGTCTCCTGGGGTTCTTGCCGGGCAGTGACGGCGCTCCTTCTCTCGGCAGGAAGTCCAAAGCAAAGCCCAACGGGAAGAAGCCTGCGGCCGAGGAGAAGAAGGTGTACCTGGAGCCAGAGTACGCCAAGTCCAGGATCACCGACTGCGAGTTCAGAGAGCTGGTGGTGCTGCCCCGGGAGATCGACCTCAACGAGTGGCTGGCCAGCAATAGTGCGTGGGGACGGTGGGCGGGCAGCTGGTGGGCTGGGAGCCACAGCAGCTGCAGCTGGCAGGGAGGCAGTGCAGGTGGCCGCCCTCCAGGTCCTTGGGGATCCCCAGAGCTCTGTCTGCAGAGGGTGTGCTGTCCATGTGGCCAGCAGCCTGGCTGTTGCTCACCAAAAAGGAGGGCTGGATGCTGAGGCATGGATGGCCAGCCCTGCAGTGCACTGAGGGGCCTCGGTGTGGGCCCTGAGCAGGCCTGGGGCTCAGGGCTCATAGAATGCCACACGAGGGCCTCCTGCACATGTGGTAGGATTCTGCAGGGGACTGGCTCTTTTCTGAAGCGTGGCGGGCTGGAGTGGCCTTCTGTTGACTCAGGCCTGATGGCCACCAGCTCCCGCCCGCCTGGTATTTGCTGCTGGTTTGGCGGTGGCTGGTGGCTGCTCCCCAGGCTGGTGCTCCCCACGGGGCGTTGGTCTGTGTGACCCGTGCTGGCCATCCCAGCACAGAGCACTGCCCTGGGCAGTGGCCGCGTCAGGTGGTGGAGCTCACGGCTGCTCTTCTCTCCTCTCGCAGCCACCACGTTCTTCCACCACGTCAACCTGCAGTACAGCACTATCTCGGAGTTCTGCACGGGGGAGGCGTGCCAGACCATGGCCGTGTGCAACACGTGAGTGCCGCCTGGCCCTGGGGACTCGGTGGGCTGTGGGGCCATGATCCTGCGGCTGCACCTCCGCCTTTCAGACCTGCTCACGGTCCCTGTGAGGTCTCCCGGCGGCACAGGGCTTTCTTCAGCCGTGCTCTCCTGTCCCCACGGGGCCCAGGGCCTGGCAGGGAAACGGGAAGAGAGCCCAGCCAGGGCAGGGACACTGACCATGTGGGTCCTGTTGGGGTGTGGGTGCCAGGGGCTGGCCTGAGGCTAACAGGCCGGATTCCTAGGGACAGGACATGCCCGGTGGGGCTCCCAAGACGACAAGCCCCGCGAAGTTGCAGGCGGTCCCTGCTCCCGCCGGCCGTCCTCCAGTAGAGGCTCCTCCTCGGGGCTCCTGCACTGCACAGGGAGGGAGACCCCTACAGGCCTGTGCTGGTTGCTCTCCCTGGGACCTTGTGCCATGTGTGTCCTCAGCAAACAGCCCCTGGCAGCACTGCCCTGGCTCAGTGCAATGTGGGAAGGAGAGCCACCACGTGGCCAGGGCTTGCCCCCAGCCTTCAGAGCAGGAGTGAGGGACGTGGACACAGGCCGACAGGAGGCTGGTCGCCAAGGAGGAGGCCAGGAGCTCCTCTCTGCGGCCTCGAGCACACCGCCCTGCATTCACGTTGCATACGACGGTGCTGGCTCTCAGCCCCTGGGTCCTGCTCTCCTGGCCCCACTGGGTCCCAGCTCAGGGCCAGATCACGTGGGAACAAGGTCACATGGCACCAGCTCTCTCTTCCTTGTTTTTGGGGAAGAGCATGAGGTGGCTGAGGTGTCCCTCATGTCCCACTGTGAGGCATGGCCCAAGGGAGGATGGGGCAGGCAGGGCGGGTGAGCTGGGCAGGAGGCCACAGAGAAGTGGCTCCTGCAGCAAGTGTGGCGGGAGGTGTGCAAGGACGGGGTCTTCTTCCCTGGACTCTGTCAGAACCGGTCCAGTCGGCCCCCTTATCAGACACAGCTCAGGTCCCACAGGTGTGTCCCCAGGGCCTTGGAGGAGAAGCCTGGGTGCCTGCCACACCTCCTCCAATAGTGGCCACCCACCTGGCACCACCTCTGACTGCAGCAGGCCCCTCGCCTCCGGACCAGGGCAGCTGTGTGGCTGGGGTGGCACCATGACCAGCCTCTTTGTCCCCACAGACAGTACTACTGGTATGACGAGCGAGGGAAGAAGGTCAAGTGCACTGCCCCCCAGTACGTCGACTTTGTCATGAGCTCTGTGCAGAAGCTGGTGACGGATGAGGACGTGTTCCCCACGAAATACGGTAGGTCTCTCAGCAGTGCCCCTCAGTGTTGGGTGGGCCTGGCTGCAGATGAGGAGGAGCAGGCAGCTGCCTGACCTGGCATCTGCCACCTTGGGTCAAGATGCCATCGTCCCAGGCTCTGGGACCTGTGGGCCTTGAGCAGCCGGTGTGGGTGTGTCCAGCTGGACAGGGCTTGGCGGTGCTCTGGGTCATCCTGAGCTTCCAGGGGCCTCAATCTGGCTGGCAGGACGTCCCCATGTGCCTCCCCTGGGTCCAGGCCACGTAGAGGGCCCCCGGGGCCAATCCAGGTGTGGGCGGCATGTGGTGGGTCTCTGACCTCTGGTCGCAGAGGTGGCCCGGGGGGTTCAGCTCTTGGGGATTGGGCCCCGGGGACCAAGTCACTCGAATGTGTGCTGGTGGCTGCTCAGTGAGGGCTGCTGGGGGTGACCCTGCATGCCTGGTGAGGGCTCTGAGGGGCAGGAGGGGCGCTGTGGGGAGCAGGGCCAGGGTGACGCAGCCCTGTCCGCAGGCCGAGAGTTTCCCAGCTCCTTCGAGTCCCTGGTGAAGAAGATCTGCAGGTACCTGTTCCACGTGCTGGCCCACATCTACTCGTCCCACTTCAAGGAGACCCTGGCGCTTGAGCTGCATGGACACTTGAACACCCTCTACATCCACTTCATCCTCTTCACCAGGGAGTTCAATCTCCTCGATCCCAAAGAGACCGCCGTCATGGACGACCTCACGGAGGTGCTGTGCAGCAGCGGGGGCCACGGTGGGGGCAGCACGGACGGGGCCAGCGGTGGGGGTGCAGGGGCACAGAACCATGTGAAGGAGAGGTGAGCCGCATGGCCAGACAGGCGTGCACGTGTGCAGAGACGGTGGCATGTGTGCCTGCGTGTGTCCACCTGTGTGCGCACATGTGCTGGGCACGCAGTTGGAGAGGTGACGCTGCCCAGGCCAGGCCATGCAGAGTGTGGACCCCGGAGCCGGCGTCTGCCTGCTTCCCGCTCCATTTTCCTGTTGGATGGACAAGTGCCGCTTGTCGAGAAGCACCTGGGACTCCTTCCTTCGCTCAGCACACCAAGGGGACTCTGCTGTTTCCTCCGGGCTTCCTTTCCTTGTCTTCTCTGCGGCCCGGCCCCACCTCCCCGGCTCTGCCACTCTGAGAAGTCGCCAGTGAGATGGGGCTCCTCCTAGGCCTTGGGCTGCAGACCTGGGTTCCTCTTGGTTGTGTTGTTTCAGGGTGGGTTATCTTAGATTCCTCCTGTCTCCCCTCGACTGGATCTTGGCTGTTGGCAGTTCAGCTTGGGGGGAAGGGGGAGGCCAGCGATGCTCTGTAGGGCCCCCCAGCTCATGTCCCTGTTCCTCCTGCCCCTGCCGCCCAAGAGGGACCCTGGACTAGCCGGCCTTGGGACCGAGGCATCGGGGGCGGCAGCCTGTGCGGAGCAGCTGTGGGCAGAAGGCAGAGCCTTGCACGCTCTGCTCCTCTCTGTTTGCTCGAATAAAAAGAATTCTCTCAGGTTAGCGCCTGTGTGTCCTCAGCGTCTTCCTGACCTGTGCTGAGGGTGGCCTGGCCCTGCAGCCACTACTGGTTCCCTCCCTTTGTCCCCTATCCCACCCTATCCCCCCAGAGGTCCCCACACCCCCCTGGGGCCACCTCCTCCCTGCGGCCTGGGGTGTAGAGTTCTCACTGGCTTCCAGGACCCATGCTGGCTGCGGCCAATGGCAGACGCTGCCCTTTCTGCCGGGACAGCCACAGGCTTCCCCACTGACCCCTGGAGGGAGGGCACACCCGTGTCACCCATTTCCAGAAGCTGGATCCACTCTCCCTGTGCTGGGCCTCCATCAGGTGGCAGGGACTCTAGAGCGTGGGTGAGAAATGGTGGGGTTTCCCAATGGGCTGAACTGCAGGGGCCATGCTGGGTGGGCAGAGGGAGGGTCGGGACAAGGGAGTGGGGAATGCATACAGTGGGTCAGCGCATGAGGAACAAATGGGGGAGGGGCTGTGTCCAGGCCCTGTGTGGGCAGAGGAGGGGCTCTGGCAGGTCCCCCCCTTGTCTGACATCACACCTGGTGATGGGGGACATCTTGGTCCAGGGGTTCCCAAAGGTGTGGAGTTGGCGAAGAAGGAATGACACGGAGATAGCGTTTAGTTGGTGAGCAACCTAGCCAGGTTCTCTAGCCAGGTTCCTC